ACTGACGATGCCGCAGCCATGAGACCTAGGAGCCTCTGAAACTTCTTCCTGCCCTAAAGGAGGCTACCAGCCGTTGGATAGAGAGCGCGCGCTCTGGCGTGAGCCGGGGTCTCATCCATGTCCATAACGGGGTTGCCTTAGGTGGGGATCGAACCCGGGTCTGCAGTGCTCAAGTGCAAGGTGTCTTCCACTGAGCTATCTCCCCAACAGTTGAACCCAAAAGCAGAAGAGAAATGATCCAGAAAGTCTGTGTTGCTTTCCAAAAATATAATCTTTATTGAAGAAAAAATACAAAGTACAAATAAACAAGTAAAGCCGAGCTTCCATTAAACAGAGAAACAAAATAGACACGAGGGTCAAAAAGGCTTAATAAAGAACAAACTTAACTTGAGAACTGATCACAAAGCACTGAGACACAGAGTACATAGTCTCAAGACTGAACACAAAGGCAGGGAACAAACAGACTTATAAAGGGCTAGACACAGGTGATGGGAATGAGGGTTAACGAGCAGAGTGCTGAACAAGGTTAGGGACGTTGGCACCATCTGCAGGAGTGGAGAGAACAGGACCCAGAGTATAAGTGCCATCTGTAGGCCTGGAGTGAGCATGGCATAGAAGACTCAAGGAGAGCACCCCCTGCTGGTCAGGAAGGGAACAGCAACCCAAAGATGAGATCTTTACAGTGTCAAGTAAACTGTGCCCAGAAAGGTTACGTTCTGGCTGAGTGACAGTCTGCTCTTGGGAAAATTGATCCTGAGCCCGAGGCATTCCAAATGACTGAGGAGCCAGGATCTGTGTGTCAATAATTCAGTCTTCGACAGAGCTATGATGAGCCAGTCGCCAAGATAGTTCAGCACGCGCACTCCCCATTGTCTCAGGGGAGAGAGCGCTGCGTCTATGCACTTCGTAAATGTACGGGGTGCTAGAGACAGTCCGAACGGTAGGACCGTGTATTGATAAGCCTGCCCCTCGAAGGCGAATCTTGAGAATAGCCTGTGATGGGGCATTATCTGAATATGAAAAAAGGCATCTTTCAGATCCACTGTGAAAAATCAATCCCCCGGGTGAACTTGCGGGAGGATTTGTTTGGTGGTTAGCATTCTGAATGGCTGTCTCATGAGGGCTCTGTTCAGATGTCTTAGGTCTAAAATGTCTGGTGCCGACATCCTTCTTTGGTACAAGAAAGTAGCGACTTTAAAACCCTGATTGGCTCAGCGCGGGGGGAACTTTCTTTAGCTTTCTCCTCTTTTGCTAGCAGATTTTGCATTTCGGTGAGAAGCACGGGAGCCACGCTGCTTCTCACCGAAGTCTCAATGACCGCCTGAAGTCGCGGGGGTCTGCGAGCGAATTGGATCGAGTAACCTTGCTTTATAGTGTTTATTACCCAATTTGACACTTTGGGGATGGCTTGCCAGACCTCGGCCCGTGTGGCTAGGGGTTGAATGAAAATTGGGGATGGGCCACCTAGCATAGGGGGACCTATTACCCTTGTGTTGTGTTTTGTGCACATACTCTCTGCTGGGCTGGCTAGACAGGCCTCCGCCGGACTGGACAGAGATAGAGTGACAACTGGAGATGGGCCGCCTAGCGAAGGGGGTTACCCGGGTATTGTGTGTTTGAAACATACTCTTTTTGAAATCTTTTCTGAAATGCTCCCCTCCGGTAGAAGATATAGAGTCCCATTGTGCAAACTAAATCGGTATAAGAATTCCTTTGTTCCTGTATCTGTACGAATGCTGAATAACAGCTTATCTCATTAATTTTAAATTTGTAAAATCAACTGTTTCTCCTCTTTTTATATGTATATGCAGCAACATGTAGTCCAAAACAAATTTCCTTTCGAGGACAATAAAGTATACTACTACTACTACTACTTTGTGCTTTATTTGGGTCGCTGTAAAAACTGCGTTTGGCTGTAGGGGCGCGTGCAGTGCGACGGTTCCATTGACTACAACAGAAAAATCTCCAGCCACTTGAGCTAAACAGGGAGCTGGGAGATCTAAGTGAGCTCTTTTCCAGGGTGGTCCGGCCACGGCGAGACTCAGACCCTCTCTCTTTCCTCCTGCTGCTACGAGGTCTTCGGAGGCTCAGGGTCCAACACAAGCCTGGATCGGATTGTGCCTAGCCGGCCGTGAGCGACGAAGGGTGTCAGCCGCAGGGCGGGGCTGAGAGACCCGAGGCGCTGTCTTAGCTAGCTGAGGAGGCGGCGTTCTCTTGGGGCGGCTCGAGGCTGAGCTGGTGCGTTTCGGTAGAAAGTCCCGCATAGCTTGAGACAATTTCTGTGCTTCGGTGAAGCGCTCCGAGAACCCTTTAACAGCTGGGCCGAAGAAGCCGGTGCTGGAGACTGGCGAGTCGAGAAAATGTCCGTGAGGTTCAGCCAAAGATGGCGCTCGAGCATGATTAGGTTAGCCATACCTCTGCTGATGGCTTGAGCCGTGGCCTTCGTAGGTCTCTAAACGACTCAGGACCCGGGCCAGACTTGTCCATAGTTTAGAGAAGCTTGGCCTGGAAAACCTGTAAACCCACGCCGTCAACAGAGGAGAGCGTTGCGGAGGTAGAAGAGCTTGTGCGCGCTGAGTAAGGGGCGCGCCATGACTTCGTGAGCTCTTCGTGAACCTCAGGGAAGAAAGGCGCTGGCTTTTGACGGGGGTCCTGCTGGCAGCCAGGCAGAAACCATCCATCCAGTCGGCTTTTAGTAGGCTCTTCGGGCGAGGCCCACTCGAGCCCGAGGTCCGACACGGTTGCGGTGAGGATGTGATGCATTTCCGCGTCTGAGTTCATCCTAGTCACACTCGCACTCGACTGGGAGAGGGGTCAACTGAGCCCAACCACTCTTCTTCAGACGCAGCAATGGAGAGGCTGTCGTCGCACTCTTCGTCCGATCCACCGAAGGAGACGAGACCCACGCCACTCGCTGAGCCGCTTCCCCATAGGATGTCCAGTTGCTGAAGCACAGCCAATGGGCGAGCTAGACGCTCTACAGTGCTCGCTGTGCAGCTGCACTGCGTTTTAAAATATAGGCTTCAATATTCTCGAGAAAAGGAGTTTCCCCACTTTGTATTAGCTGCGCAATACGAAGTGACCGTTCTCGAAAGGGAACTTCAAAAGTCAGTGTTGTATGTCAAGAACTTTCTTAATAAGGGAACGTTTTGTTTTTCCTCACTTATCATTGGCTCTGATAAACCCGTGTTTATATTATCAAAATTTATGAATGTATTCGAACGACTTTGAAAACTTTTCCTTGCGAAAAAGAAATGTGCTTAAGTGTATTGAGCATGCACTTGTAGTGTACTTCAAATTTTAAAAGTATATTATTAGAGCACACTTTCATAAATGTTTAATACACTAAGGTACATTTTTTAAATGTACCTTTTTAGGGTTTTTAAGGTTTAATGTACTTTAAAGTACATATTTATTTATGTTTTAATAATATTTTGTCATGATTTAAATAAGTACACTTATTTTTATGTGTTGACTGATATAGCTACTAAAGAACATACTTGATTTGAACATTGCAAGTAACATGCAGTTAAGTGTCTGAAAACATTACATTTAGCTTGCAATTAAGTTTATTCTTTTAAAGTATATCATTTCCATTCGAAGTACTCATTTTAAAAGTATGCTAAAGTGCACTTCTTATTCAAAAGGGTATGCTTTTATTAAACTTGAAGTATTTGACTAGTAAAGCAAATGTGTAGATGTCTGCAGTTTCACTAATCATGGAAATACAGTAGTCATAAAATTCAGACGAAAAGTTGGACCAAATATCCTTTTCTCTTGTTTGCAGTTTGTTTATTTGACTTTTTTTCAATACACTGCTGAAATGCAACTGTCTTCCTACATAAGAGCTTGTTTGTTTATCATTGATTTTTTTTTTTAAATATGCAAAAATACTTGATATTTCCCACAGTCAGCAATGTAACATTTTGTACCGTTTTTTCCACCCCAATAAAAAACTCCTAGATCTGTTTAAATAGGACAAGACATGGTCTATGTTTTGGAATAGCATACTTCCATACTACTCATAATATTTCTTAGTATATAATATGTATATTGTGCATAGTGTGTAATACCCGGATGGCCATTTGCCAACGTATACATGCAGAACACACTGCACAGAATACTGTATTCCACAATGCAGTGTATCATATTTGGATGATAAACATGCAATATGATGAGGTCACGTGACAACAATTAGCATAGTACTGTTCAGAACATGTAAGGTTGCATATTTCATACTGTTTCACTTAGTATTTAATATAAAGCATTATACAGTAGTGTGCAGCTTGCAGTAGTAATGTGCCCGAAGCCTAAATTCGGAAAGGCACAGAAAATGAATAACGCATTCTACGGAGCCCCTAAAGGGACATCTGAGGCTTGCTGCGGTAGTCGGTTACATTACAGTAGGCCTACATCAGATTTCACTTATCACATAAAGATAGTAAGGAGAGATGACTGACAGGATGATGGCATAGGATTTCTTGCTCAAGAGATTCTGAGCATTACTGACAAATATCTCATCTTGTAAAATGTGTGTTCAGTACCGCTGCTCCCTATACATGGAATATGATTGATCACGATTTTGAAAGTTAAAGTAAAAAAGCAAACACACGTTCAAAGGCGATTTTAATACCCTGCGAACTGATACCTGCAAATTATATAGGCCTACAATTTTAATTTTCCAACTATATAATTGCAAGGGAAAGCAAAAGCATTTTCCTCCCATCTCATTTTTTTTTTTCCATCACTATGTCCTTTTAGGGGCTCTGTAAAATGCATAATTTCCTTTCTGAACATAGTATTCGGCTTCAGGCACATTCCTAGTTTGCAGTATGCAAGTATTCCATTCTAAACATAGCCATTGACTGTTCACCATTGATTTTTCAAGTATATATATATATATCCCAACATTTCAGTCTGTTACAAAGATTCTTAATGTACATCTATACTAATTCACTACGGTCTCAAAAGAGAAGAAGGTAGCCTATTATAAACTCTTCTTTAAAACTCAGGATCTGTGTCACATATCAGCGGACTTCTTCATAATCAGCCCTTTGTTTATCATTCATCTTGTCAAATGTTTTTGACAGAATTTGTTGATGCTCATGATGTGAAACATGAGGTATCCTGGTACTGAATGGCTCAATTTAACTGCATAGGAACATATTTGTCATCCACTTTTAGGCATACACTATATACAAAACCAGCAACACAACATCTATCCACACAGTTACTGTGGAATCATGGGAGCAGCCTGAGATGGGACATGGGAACAAGTTCTCTGATTGTTCATCTACTGTCCAGGTGCGTACGGCCAGCTGATAGAGCTTCCAGAGAGCTGCATGTCCCGGATAAGCGTCTCGATTGGCGTCTTGCCTACCAGCCGCATGAAGAAGAGTTGAGAGATGAGGTTGGCGGGAACGGCTCTCAGTGCAGGCAGTCGCAGCAGGAGTCGGCCGAAGCGTTGGGGCTGACCCGGATACTGTATGCGCTCGTACTCTGTCAGGGCCACCTGTGCTTTCTCCTGCAAGCTCTCGACGTGCGCCGGATCTGACAGCCCACATGCGTCTGTAGAGGAACACAGAGTTTACAACACAGCTGTAAGTGAAATAACAGTAAACAGTGAGCGCAATGGATATTTGGCATTGTTATTTTCTCTTTTACAAAGGTAAGCTTAAAAAATAACAACACTTGGCCTGACTTAACTTTTTAGAAATCAGTTTGTGAATAGTGACATTTGGCATGTTGCTATGCCGTTACTAAAGTGTTATGAACGGTTATAGCATGTTCTTATGCCTTTACTAGTGATGGGGACGAGACCGCCTATGCCGAGTCCGAGTCAAGACCGAGTCTTTGAAGGGTCGAGTCCGAGTCGAGACCGAGTCCATTGATTTTCAAATACAGTCGAGTCCGAGTCAAGACCGAGTCTTTGAAGGGTCGAGTCCGAGTCGAGACCGAGTCTTTGAGGAAGCAAGTCCGAGTCGAGATTTTGTCTCGACATGTCAGTTTTGATATTCATGATTTAATATCACCCCAGTTAATAATCAACAGTTAGGCCTACAGACTAAGCTAGATTGGTAATTGTTTAGAGGAGCAGTCTTAACTAGTGATGGGGATGAGACCGCCTATGACGAGTCCGAGTCAAGACCAAGTCTTTGAGGGTCGAGTCCGAGTCGAGACCGAGTCTTTGAAGGAACAAGTCCGAGACGAGTCCGAGAAAGCAGAAATCGGTCTCGAGACCAGACTCGAGTACTACATCACTGGCCTTTACTAACATGTTCTGAGCTTTTATCATGTTGCTATGCCTTTACTGACATGTTCAGAGGTTTTAGCATGTCGCTATGCTTTTACTACAGTGTTTTGAGGGCTTTTAGCATGTTGCTTTGCCTTTACTAAAGTGTTCCGAGGGCTTTTAGCATGTTGCTATGCCTTTACTAACATGTTCTGAGGTTTTAGCATGTTGTTATGCCTTTACTAAAGTGTTCCGAGGGCTTTTAGCATGTTGCTATGCCTTTACTAACATGTTCTGAGGTTTTAGCATGTTGTTATGCCTTTACTACAGTGTTTTGATGGCTTTTGGCATGTTGCTATGCCTTTACTAACATGTTCTGAGGTTTTAGCATGTTGTTATGCCTTTACTACAGTGTTTTGATGGCTTTTGGCATGTTGCTATGCCTTTATTAACATGTTCTGAGGGCTTTTAGCATGTTGCTTTGCCTTTACTAACATGTTCTGGGAGGTTTTAGCTCGTTGCTATGCCTTTACTAAAGGGTTCTGAGGGCTTTTAGCATGTTGCTATGCCTTTACTAACATGTTCTGAGAGGTTTTAGCATGTTGCTATGCCTTTACTACAGTGTTTTGATGGCTTTTGGCATGTTGCTATGCCTTTATTAACATGTTCTGAGGGCTTTTAGCATGTTGCTTTGCCTTTACTAACATGTTCTGGGAGGTTTTAGCTCGTTGCTATGCCTTTACTAAAGTGTTCTGAGGGCTTTTAGCATGTTGCTATGCCTTTACTAACATGTTCTGAGAGGTTTTAGCATGTTCCTATTCCTTTACTAAAGTGTTCTGAGAGGTTTAAGCAAGTTGCTATGCCTTTACTAACATGTTCTGAGGTTTTAGCATGTTGCTATGCCTTTACTACAGTGTTTTGATGGCTTTTAGCATGTTGCTATGCATTTACTTACATGTTCTGAGGGCTTTTAGCATGTTGCTTTGGCTTTACTAACATGTTCTGGGAGGTTTTAGCTTGTTGCTATGCCTTTACTTAAGTGTTTTGATGGCTTTTAGCATGTTGCTATGCCTTTACTACAGTGTTTTGATGGCTTTTAGCATGTTGCTATGCCTTTACTAACATGTTCTGAGGGCTTTTAGCATTTTGCTTTGCCTTTACTAACATGTTCTGGGAGGTTTTAGCATGTTGCTATGCCTTTACTAACATGTTCTGAGAGGTTTTAGCATGTTGTTATGCCTTTACTTAAGTGTTCTGAGGGCTTTTAGCATGTTGCTATGCCTTTGCTAACATGTTCTGGGAGGTTTTAGCATGTTGCTATGCCTTTACTAACATGTTCTGAGAGGTTTTAGCATGTTGCTATGCCTTTACTACAGTGTTTTGATGGCTTTTAGCATGTTGCTATGCCTTTACTAACATGTTCTGAGGGCTTTTAGCATGTTGCTTTGCCTTTACTAACATGTTCTGGGAGGTTTTAGCTTGTTGCTATGCCTTTACTTAAGTGTTCTGAGGGCTTTTAGCATGTTGCTATGCCTTTACTACAGTGTTTTGATGGCTTTTAGCATGTTGCTATGCCTTTACTACAGTGTTTTGATGGCTTTTAGCATGTTGCTATGCCTTTACTTACATGTTCTGAGGGCTTTTAGCATGTTGCGTTGCCTTTACTAACATGTTCTGGGAGGTTTTTACATGTTGCAATGCCTTTACTAACATGTTCTGAGAGGTTTTAGCATGTTGCTATGCCTTTACTTAAGTGTTCTGAGGGCTTTTAGCATGTTGCTATGCCTTTACTACAGTGTTTTGATGGCTTTTAGCATGTTGCTATGCCTTTACTAACATGTTCTGAGGGCTTTTAGCATGTTGCTATGCCTTTACTAACATGTTCTGGGAGGTTTTAGCATGTTGCTATGCCTTTACTTAAGTGTTCTGAGGGCTTTTAGCATGTTGCTATGCCTTTACTAACATGTTCTGAGAGGTTTTAGCATGTTGCTATGCTTTTACTACAGTGTTTTGATGGCTTTTAGCATGTTGCTATGCCTTTACTAACATGTTCTGAGGGCTTTTAGCATGTTGCTTTGCCTTTACTAACATGTTCTGGGAGGTTTTAGCATGTTGCTATGCCTTTACTAAAGTGTTCTGAGGGCTTTTAGCATGTTGCTATGCCTTTACTAACATGTTCTGAGAGGTTTTAGCATGTTGCTATGCCTTTACTACAGTGTTTTGATGGCTTTTAGCATGTTGCTATGCCTTTACTAACATGTTCTGAGGGCATTTAGCATGTTGCTTTACCTTTACTAACATATTCTGGGAGGTTTTAGCATGTTGCTATGCCTTTACTAAAGTGTTCTGAGGGCTTTTAGCATGTTCCTATTCCTTTATTAAAATGTTCTGGGAGGTTTTAGCAAGTTGCTATGCCTTAACTAATATGTTCTGAATGATTTTAGCATGTAGATATGCATTTACTGTTATTTCATGCTACTATGTGTTATCGTGAGAGGTTTTAGCAATGTTTGCTTGTTTTACAAACATGTTCTAAGTGATTTAGCATGTAGTTATGCACTTACTAACATGTTTTGAATGTTTTTTAACATGTTGCTGCTATATGCCTTTACTAACTTGTATTGAGAATAGGTTTTGGAATGATGCTTTGCGTTCACGTGTTATGAGAGGTTATAACTTTTTGCTATACCTTTACAAACATGTTCTGAGATGTATTAGCATTTTGCTAAGCCTTTCCTAATATTTTCTGAGGGGTAATAGCATGTTGCTATGTCTTTACTGAATAGTTTTAGCAAATTGCTAAGCATTTAAGACTGAGGTTCTACTATTTTGCTATGTGGTTAAAAATTTTCTTAGTGGTTTTAAGCAAGTTGCTATGCAGTTTGTAGGGTGTTCGGGGATTGCTATATGCTTACTCAAGTCAAAATTTCAGCCCAAAAGTTTCTGTGATTGTCATAGACATGGCTAAATGCCTCTTGAATGTGGCAAAAGGCAGGCGAAAATGGTAAGTTTGATATCCTACAATGTAATAGCACTCCTCTCAAAGACAATGTTTGTGTAAATAGTCTGGGACGAGTCTAAACAAGTTAATTCAAATTTGTATCCCTAAGTATAAGGTATTCTTTGATTTGATTTGACAAGCCAGACCCACATCAAAATGTTGGGTCTGGGAACACACCATTGGCAGGGCTCAATCCGAGGGGCGGGATGAACGGTTGTCTTTCAATTTCCCTCTGCACGCAATAGGATAACGCTACAACCAACCAGAGCAATGAAGAAGGTGACGTAGTCCAAACACATCTTCCTTTTTTAAGAATGACTTCAGTGCCGTTCTTTGTTCTTTTCTCAAAGAAAAGCTTAAGAGTCGCGGCCAAAGCCGATTCGAAAGACCGCTGTTCGCCAGCAGCAGCAGTCATCTTCTTTGGTTTCAAGTAGCAGGGAATTCACGCGGAACCATTGCAACTCTGCCGTCATTATGTTAAGCCCGCCCACCGATGGGCTTATACACGATGATATCATTACACATTACACATACACAATATGATTGGCCTGACTAGAGTTTGTTTTTTTCCAGCTCCAGTTGCTAGACGTAACTGACAGCAAAATAAAATTTGCTGCCGCTAGGGTGCGTCTAGATTTCTAGGCTAACAAGACTGTCCTTTTGGAATATATTTCTAACATGGGTTCATCACTCACCTGGTGAGAAAAGAGCGATGGCTTTCAGACAGCTGTATTCAGCAGAATCCACCTGCAGTCGAGCCAGTTTGTCCACCTGGTCCTGGAAGACCCGCACCTGGTCCATGAAGGACACGACGCGGTCAGCGGGCATGGGGGAGGAGTGAAAACCAGCAGCTGCTAGTAGGGGGGCCGTGTGCAGGGGCAGAGCCGATTGAGCTGCATTCAGGATGAACAGTTCACTCCAGCTGAGCCTCAGAAGGGCCACCTGCTCCGACACGGGCAGGTCAGGAAAGTACGGAATATTCCGGGCCCACTCTATGGTACTGAAGAGCAGTCGGGCTGCCAGCTCACATATATTGTCAATGCCCATGATGGAGCTGTTGGCTCCTGTGAGCTGCTGGCCGCACTGGGCTCCGTAGCGGCTGTTGGGGTACGGCTCTGCTCTCAGCAGCTGAGAGATGAGTTCAGACACTGGCTGACCATTATAGAAATCAGCACCCATGCCCGGACCTCCTCCAACATCACCGCCTGCTCCAACCATGGAGGCTGGGCTGATGCCTGCGTGTGAGGGAGGAATTCGACCACGCTGGACCGCTGGAAAATAAAATAAAAAATCCAACAAATTATAAACAAATAACTCCCTATTCTGATGATGCAAGTAACATGAAACTGGCAAATTTATGTTGGAAATTAGTTTTTTCAGGACAACTGACAGGTATTTAGTAAAAATAAACAAGAATGTATGTACAATGTTTACATTACACATATTACTGGTTTGCTGACCTTCTTTCCTCATACCGACCCGGAAGCACTTCTTCAGACGGCAATACTGACACTGATTACGGTGGTGCTGATCAATCTGACACTCTCTGTTTGACCTGTGAAGGTAATTTAGATACCTTTGAGCCGAGAAAGTACACGAGATAACAAAGAGTAATTAAGATTTAGCACTTTTCCGAAGATAATGAGCGTTCAAATAAACAGAGAAACTGTAAATAGTTGTGAACATCATTTACAGATTGAATTTGTTTTGTCATGTTGCATGATTAAAACAAGATCAAATTCTTAATTAAATAAATATTTAAATAATATTTTCCCTGAATATTATTTGAATGTCTGCTTGGGGTATGTTTACTGGACAATGATGTACTAAATCAGTACTTAAGTTTTTCCTCTGTGTTTTTCGCGTACAGACGACAACGTTGTCAAAAACAATTCCCGTTCACACGGATCCGCGAAAACGACTAAAAACGCTGTGTTCTACTGCCAGGCCAGTAGTTGGCGATGTCACTTTCTAAAGAAACACTATAGACTGAATATGCGCATGCGCATTTAACAACGTTTTTTTGTAGTTTACACAGAGACGATAATGGTCTCTGTGTAACGTTTTCAAAAACTTTGGGTTAAATTAATTATCTTGGATTGTATAAGTGTCTTCCAATTAATTGTCACAATCCCTAAAACTAGTACAACTGCACAAGTAGATTTACAAGAATTTATCTTTTTTTTCTAAAATGCCTGTAATATTGATGAAAAATACATCTTTTGTCATTGTTCAAAAGACAAATTCTAACTCTAATGGAAACTAATACACAGTAATAAATAAAACTATTTAAGTTGCAGGTTATAATCCAACATATAAACCTGAATGTATTGCCCGTTTTGGGAATTAATCTCTGTCCTTCATGAGCTGTCATGTGTGAAGAGCTCGCAAGTGATTCTCAGGTAAATTATCAGTCGTATAACCTTGGTACAAACACAAAGGACACCGTTTCTGTTCATTCATTCCAAAAGTTCCCATGGCAGCAGGGCTAATGTTAGATCTGCTGTAAGAGACCAATTACACACAACATGCACAATTGTGTTTCGACAACCATACATATATGTGCAACATTCAGCTGTAATGGCTAGGTATTTTTGTGGAAATGGAAATTTAGCATGTTGCTATTACATGTTGCTCGGAACAACACAATCACAGCAAATTAGGTTTGCAGTTGGTTTGCAAAAACTCAGATATCAGGAACCGTTGGTGATTAATTCACTGGTGGACATGCTGTTGTTTTTTCATACATTTGAACTCTGCTCAACTTTGTGGCATCGCAGTTTCTGTCACCTCAAAAGTCCAGTTTAAAATGACTTGCGGTTTCTTTGTCATTGTCAGTATTAATGCTCATCAATAAAGGATAGTTTGGCTGCGTCCGAAATCGCACACTCTCTTGAGTAGGTACTTCTTTTGAATAAGTAATTACTTTGTGTGTTCTATAGTTTGAATATAATCTGGACATACTACCTTCGCCATGTTGTCATTATCATGTGACCTAGCAGCATCAGTTGCATTGCTTCACTGCCATTCATAAATCCTGTTGCTTACTTTTGCCTACTAGTACTGAGAATTATTTCACCTATATAGTAGGGAAGTATGCGATTTCGGATGCAGCCCTTGTATGGCTAGTCGTTCGCTGCGTTGTATCTGGTTCGGACAAGGTGTAAGTGACCTGACTGGTGAAATACAATTGTGCTCAAGTAAGAAAGGATTTGATGCAATGTGAAATCAAACCCTCTTTACTTGCAGAAAATGGCCTAAATCTTAACATTAGTACTTATTACTTGATTAACATTGTAACATGATTACTTTATTTATTCAACTCCTCTATTACAGGCTCTGATTCATGAGTATGTTAATGTTCACTTACATACACTCTTATTTTAATGTCAGTAAGAGGTTAACAGAGTTCACAGAAAGTTCAGCCAAATTCCTTTGCTGAGCTACATCTGGAAACTGAGGCTGTGATTGGCTGTTGTGTCTTACCAGTCACAAATCAGTTAAGGGGGATTTCATTTATGTGGGAAAACATGAACCTGTTTGCTTAACAATGGAAGACAGCGTGATAGACAATTTCTCACCTGCAAGTGTAGTTGAGGTTCCGTCTGATGCTCCTTTTAAAGAAACTCTTGCACCCTTCGCAGGTGAAAACGCCATAGTGCTTGCCGCTGGATTTGTCTCCACACACACCGCAGTCCACCACGCAGGCCTTGTCCTCCTCACCGCCTTCCACGTCGCTGGTCCCTGCCCGGGGCGAGCTCCCCTCCTCCTCCCCCCGCAGGTAACCTTTCTCAGCGAGTCCATTAGCGCTGCCGTTGGGGTTGGCCCATCCCCCGCTCACCATGGCCATCTCTGTGTACACCAGCAGGAGCTGCTTGAGAAACCTTCCCGCGTCGAGAATTCAGAGCCGCCCCGGAGCGAATCCCTTTAAGCTGCAGACAGTAAGCCGAACAAGTCAGACTTGGAGGAAAAACACGTTTAACAGCACTCTGAAGACCTCCGAGGCTTACCAGGCTGACATGTTATTGCCGCCAAATGTCATATCAAAATCCTGAGAGGGGAGCCCTCATCCCTGTTGCTTTTCTTCATGTCCTCTAACCACAAAACCTCTGAAGATCTCAAGATCCCTTTGATTCAATGAGCAGGTCAGAGTTGGACAGCTTACCTCGCCCTTTTCACAGGAAATGATAAATTACACATAAACGCACCCAGACTTCGGGGAAAAAGACAAGCTCATCCACATGCTGCACAGCTCGGAGACGTGGATAAAATGAAACTCCTTCTCAGCTCGCAGCCACTGTGACATTTCACTAGGAAAACCTAGTCGACATGCCCCCTAGTAACCAACAAGTTAAACCAGTTCCTTCTGTGCTGAGAAACACGCCATTGTGTTTAGAAACGTTACGGGTATTACAGGTCAATTGGGTAGGTTTGACTCAACCTGCCAGTGTTATTTGTATTCATTTGTTTTAATCACCTACAGAAGAAAAATCACTTAGCATCTCGATAGTTTCCACTTATCTCATAAGTGTCTTCTCCAGAGTTTCAGAAGAGTTCCTCAACAGTGTTCTCTGAAGATGCCAAAGTCGTTGAACTCAAACATTTCTCATAAAATTCTTCAGAGACCATGTTAACTGAGATATCAACATCCATTTTATAGCTTTATGCTTTAACTGTGGTCTAATTTGTGTCTACTTTTACTTTCCCTAAGGGTTAGGTGAAACATCTGAGAACTTCAGGCCCCTGAGCTATGAAAGAGCAATAAAAAGATCATCTGGGATTATCTAAACTTCATACAATCCAAAAGAAACTGCCTCTTTTAAACTGCTAGTGAAGAGTTGATTTCCAAACAGCACTAAACCACAATGCCAAACATGCAGACAGCAACCTGGGTAATGATAAACAGAACTCAGCCCCCACCCTTCTCCTCAAGGATCAAAGTTCAAGAAAGTTCCTTGGTCTTTCTCGTTGTTAAACAACACAATCCAGAATGCTCTTTCAACTTGCTTCTCACTGTAGAGAAGGAAGCACATTTTGACCATACAGAGGCAAGTCTCAGTACGCTCTGTGCAAATACGACAGAGAGTCCTTCCATACCTTGTTTCGTCAGTGCCGGTTCGTCCAGCCGTATGGTCTACGGGGCCTCAGCATTTCCAGGAACTGATCCGAAGCTCTTTTAGCCGTCTGCCACTTCCCATCCCCTGCTTTTCTCCATTCATCAGTAAATCATGAGATCCAACAGTCAGGAGAGACAGCTGACCCGAGCGTCTGTGGTGACTGGCCAACAAACCTTGCACTGTTCTCTCTCTCTCTCTCTCTCTCTCTCTCTCTCTCTCTCTGAGTAGTGGCGGTTGAGCGAGCGTGTGTCTGTGTGTTCAGGGATTTGACACTGCTATTCAAGCCCTCTGGTTGCCATGGTGCCGCCTGCCTTATAAGGGTAATAGAGTCAAAGAGCAGTGAGTGGGCTGTAGCCACTCTACACAAACAACCAGGAATGTGTTACCACACACACGGTTAACCCCTCAAGGGAAGACCATAGGTACACTCAGCATGCATCTTAGGATGGTGAAGACTTCCTAAGTGAAGATCTCAACATGTGATTAAAATCAAATTACATGACAGACCACAGCCAAAGATTTTATTTTAAAGCTTGTTATTTCACTGCAGAAAGTTACTCACCAAACTTTGACTTGGACAGTGTCAAAAAACCACAAAAAAACATGCAGGCCCTGTATTTCATCTTATTTCACCAATCATAACCTAATATTATTAAAGAAGTCTTTATTTTATATAGATGTACTCTGGGAGAGTACTTTGAGCTGAGCAGCTGTAAATGTGGTGTATTTGTGCAGTGAAGAGCTTAGAGCTGATTTGTTAATCTGATTTAGAGCTTTTTTAGATCACTCTCTGAGGAGGAAGCTCACGGAAATCTTTTTGTCTTCTCATCTGATTGTTTTGGCTTTTACCCTGCTTAGAAAACTGAAGCTGGTTTGGTCTTAGCTGGTTTTGGTTGGTCTAGCTGGTTTCCAAGCCTGACCTGGTTTCAAACTCTGCTAAAAACAGCAAACATGGTTGTGAAATGTCAGATGGTACAACCACAAAAGTTTTTTTTTTTTTTTTATTAATTTTGAAATTCATTTAGGCTAAATATGTTTACCTTTTGCCTTTTTTTTATTTTCTTTATCTTTGAAGCTCTTAAATTACTTCTTTATGATACAGTATATTCTAATACAAATTGATGCTATTTCTTTGTATTGATGCTATTTTGTCATTTTCCAAGTCATGTTTATTCTTTTTAATCATTTAAAAATTTGCATCCTACAAATTTCAAATGGCACCTTTTGAGCCATTTGTTCTCTGCTCTCTTTGATCGCTTTGCTGTGTTTGTTTTCCCTCTGTGTTTCCAGGTTTCTGGGGTTGAATTGTTGGTCTTTGATCCGGAATACAGCCTCTCCTGGAGTCTCTCTTTCCAACATATAAAAGGCAATATATATCTCAGATTATCATAGATCATTTACCTAGTATGTATGTGCACACATTGGAACATCCAGTCATAATTTCAGCCCTTTTAAATAAATAAGTTCAATCTTTACATTTTATTCTTTCCTTTTATCATCTGTATTAAAGTATTGGCGTTTACAAAGCGTTTTATTCTTATCAGATTTTTCAGGGAAAAGCTTAGTTTCAACGATGCTGTGGCCTTACAACATTAATAGCCCAGACAGTCTGAGCTCTTGGTTCAGGTGTTGAGGAATGTGGTAAGTGGGTTTAAACTTTAACCATTTCATAGGTGTAAAACCATTTGCCCGAGCAACACGCAACACACAAACACACACTGAACTAAGCATCTATTAGCGTCATGGTGCTCTCTGACCCATACGAGAGGTCTGTCTCCCGATGTTGTGGGACCTTTGACCTTAACAGAGAGACTGAGCGTCAGACACTGGCCGTACAGGAACATCTGCTAGGGCCACAGCGGAGCACGGCAGGGACAACAATCAACATCCTCCACCCTGAGAAAAACAGAGAGAACTGCCCTCATTCGGTGGGAAAGTCACACTTGAGCATTGTTATTCAAATAAGTTGACCTCAGTATTGATTACAAGGTTTTTAAAGATGTGTTGCACCAACTAAATATTTAGTCAAGTGTTCCTCTAAACAAAGGTGGAATAATTAAAATAATACTTGATTATGTTCCTATAGAATCTATAAAAGTATCACCTTGTCAAGGACTTAACGTTAGAACAAGGCATATACTAGATTTTGAGCAAAAAAAGTTAAATTGTGTATCTGTAAAATAAAACCAATTTGAATAAAATGTAGAGAAAATAAATGACTAAAAATAGAATAATTTAAGAATTTAAAATGAAATCAATTATTTAACTTTATTCTCTATATTTCTGCAGCTTTTGTGTACTTTTCAAAACTAGTAGAGAGAGACAGCTCAACACACTGCAACTGAAGAAAAGACATACAAATAGAAAAAAAAATAGTAAACTAAGAAACCATCGTCAGTTTGACAACTCATTCTCTGCAAATACTCACAATGCAACCACATACAGAAAAAAGGTTGTTGTATTTGTAGCGCGTTTCTGTATTTGGTTGCATTGTGAGTATTTGCAGTACGTTTCTGTATTTGGTATTTGCAGCACATGTTGTCAAACTGATGAAGATGTTTTCTTAATTTGCTGGTGTTTTTTTATTTGCATGCGTTTTCTTCAGTTCTCAGTCACTGTAATTTTTGTTTGTTTTTTTGCGATTTTTGCATTTGATAAATTTGTCACTGTTGCATTATTAAACATTTTTAACTGTAATGATTAGCAAAAGTAAATAACTTGCAGTAAAAATACAGAACTACCATTTTCCAGCAGAGACAGGGAAAACAAGGGATGGAGCAAGAAGGAGGGAAAGAAAAAAGGGTCAGCTTATTCACTGGGCTCTAATACGCTCAATGAAGACATCTTATTGAGTAAAGGGATTACAAACCTGCTCCCTTTAGGCCCATGCTGTCTGCTTTCACCTCTAAGATTCTTACTCTCTTAATCCGTCTCTTACTAGAAAAGAGAGTTAGGGTTTTATGTGAGGTCAGTGTGTGTGGTGCAGTGGTTTTGGGTCAGTTTGGGCTGTGCATGGAGACTCCAATGTATCCAATCTAGCAATGATACAGTATGTTATTTGAAGGGTTAGTTCACCCAAACACTGCCAAGATAATAAATAAAAAAAACACTATAAAAGTGGTCAACGTGTCCATGTGCACGCTCCCTCACTTTTGTATACCTACTGAAAAGATCAGTTTGGACATTTTGCTAAATATCTCCATTTCAGTTCCATTAGTTCAGTTTGGAAGGAGTGTGAGTAGATGTTTTTATTAATTTATCCACGCTTTAATAGTCTGGACATCTGAAATAAAAGAAAGAGAAAAAGAGAGAACATAAAAACATTCCCTCATTTGATCAGGGTCAAACCTCTCTTTTTTTTTTTATCTGAATAGCAGCATGCTTTACTGATAAGTACTGAGTGTGAGAGGTTAAGAGTGAAGAAAGGGAGGGCCAGAGGAAATGAGAGGAAAACAGTGTAAGAGGAAAAAGAGAGCATTGACGTCTGTGAGAAAAAGAGCATCGGCCAGCCACAATCCCATGCTGTTCAGGGGGAAGCGTATTTAAATGTGACATGATGTTTGGGGTAAATGAGGTGACCTTAACCCTGTGGGTCAGAGCCTGCTGTGTGTGCGTGTGTGCTTTGGAAGCGGGCGTGGGGTCCTAATAACCCATCCCCCGTGCTGTGATTGACAGCTCTTGTTTTTGTGAGTTTTTTCCCAGGGATCGGAACATCCCTAAGCTCTTAAAACACTTTACACGACACAGATGCTGCTGGATTTGTGTGACATGCTCGATTTTCGTATTTGAAGTTCCTGCTTTGTATGACGTCTGTATGGATGTGAATTAGTTATGAATAACTAATAAATAAATAGTGTGCCAAATTTGTAGGCTTATTTTAAAATATGGGTAACACTTCATTTTGATGGTCCACTTAGACATTCTACTAACTATAAGTGACTTTGCAACTACAGGTCAACTAATTCTCATTAAAGTATTAGACTGGCTGATTCATATCTGTTAACAGTTTCTTTTGATGCTCCCTAACAGACATTCTACTGACTATAAATAACTTTGCAAGCACATCGACTTATCCTACTAACCCACTGCATATTGTACATTGCCATCTGTATATTGCTCATATATGTTAATTGTAATTGTATATTGTCTTATGTTAATTGTATTCTGCGCTGTCTGGAGCACGCTCTTAAGAATTTCACTCGCTACGGCACATGTGTTGTTAGTGATGTGACAATAAATGGATTCAATTCGATTCAATTCAATTCAATTCAATTCAATTCAATAACCCAAACCCTAACACCTAACAGTCTACTAATACTCTGAGAATTAGTTGACATAGTTGCAAAGTTACTTATAGTTAGTAGAATGTCTAAAGTGGACCATCAAAATGAAGTGTTACCCATATTTTAAAAAGGAGTTCAGTAAGAAAACTCTCTATTCGGAAAAATCAGTACTCACATGTTGTCCAACAGGCAACTTTTTGTGCTTGCGGTCAAAGACAGAATGGGATGCAAGCAATGTATACTTTGGGACAAGTACTTGAAACTGATACAGTCAGTTATATCTTAAAGGGATAGTTCACTTTGAAATTATTTTTTGGTATGTTTTAGCTTACCTCAAGGGCATCCAAGATGTAGGTGTCGTTGTTTCTGCAGTAGTTTCAATTTTGATACTTTAGGTCAAACCGTTCTTGTCTGTCAGTCATATAGTGCGGGTCTATAGTCACCACCTCAAAGAGCATGCACAGAGAAGTCCAAATTAAACATGATGTAATGACTCGTAAATGTAAGTACACATTGATGGCCTAAGACACGAAACGAGCGGTTTGTGTGAGAAAACTAACAGTATTTATATAGTTTTTACCTCTTGTAACCACAGCCACGTCCAAGTGATCTGAGGGCGCGGGCGCTTCCGTCTGCGCAAGCGCCGTAAAGCTCCGGAAGTGATCTCTCGCGCGTGTACGAAAAAAATTCAACGTTGTCTTGCTGATATATCGAAATCGTCTTCCATTGCGATTTCCTGTATATCTAAATATGTTTAGATCTTCACAGTGAAAGGTAACACTTCCGAAATCTCTGTGTAAACAAAGAGTGGCGTACACGCGCGAGAGATCACTTCTGGCGCTTGCGCAGACCGAAGCGCCCGCGCCCGCAGATCACTTGGACGTGGCTGTGGTTACAAGAGGTAAAAACGATATAAATACTTTTCGTTTTCTCACACAAACCGCTCGTTTCGTGTCTTAGGCCATCAATGTGTACTTACATTTACGAGTCATTAAATCATGTTTAATTTGGACTTCTCTGTGCATGCTCTTTGAGGTGGTGACCATAGACCTGCATTATATGACTGACAGACAAGAACGGTTTGACCTAAAATATCAAAATTGAAACTACTGCGGAAACAAAGACACCTACATCTTGGATGCCCTTGAGGTAAGCTAAAACATACCAAAAAATAATTTCAAAGTGAACTATCCCTTTAAGTGAATGTAAACAGTTCGGACAAAAATGATACTTGGGGTCTGGATCTGGAGAGGTCTAGTTTTGGTCTGGGTCTGGTCTCAACTACACCTGGTTCTAGATCAAAGTCTCAACGAGATTCTGGTCAGTACATACCTCGGGTCCTTCCTTTAGTGCAAGTCTAGAGGGTTTTTATCATCATCACCCACAAATTACTTTATGGCTGTGAAGAAACAAGAATGATTATCTCATCATTCAGTATGACGTTTTTCCACATCACTTCAGAGCTGAAGTGAGCAGTTTATTCAGCACAGAGCTATCAGAGACATAATCATTATCTTTATCCAAACGATCCCTAAAACTCCGATCTTCCCCAGCAGGCGTGTTCAGGACAGAGTCTGTGTTTAACGTGACCCCATGACCCCCTTTATTCACCAGCTCCTACAACAGAGAGCAAATCCTTTAACCCTGGGGGTGTGACACTCAACCTTTGCCACAGCTGCAGTCAGCTGGCCCGGGCAGGACTGAAAGACGTGGATCAGTGAAAAGCGAAGACAATTGTGCGAGTCAGGCTCCTCTGACCTCTCTCTCTATTGTGTGTCCCTCCCTTCCCCCCGTTTCTACTGTGAGAGCGATGGTGAGGCCGAATCTTCACAGGAAGAGTGATCCGCGCTGGGAAACTCACTCCACTTCTGACATACACTGACCCATTTTCTGTGATCTGTTTTTCTGAGACTCACAAAGAAAAATGCTTTTAAATGAAAATGATTATGCAGCTGCTTTGATCGTAAAGAGGGAAAGGTCTCACACGAGAGGGAGTCAGAGTGAAAGCGTTTGCATAGCGATCTCGGTCAGCGCAATTGTGACTTGTTAGATGAACAAAGCTGACATAGTATTTTTCTAATGTGCAAACACCCATTGTTGTGTTGTTGTCGGCTTTTATACAGAAAACTACCAGTTCACAGTAGTTTTTAAACTGTCAAAAACTTTAATCAATTTAAATGATAAACAAAATGCACCTGCAATTTTTTACAGACATAAAGAAATGAATAATACTTATAACAAATATGTATTTAAAATGTACACTCACATGAGCGGAGTTCTATCAATGGCCCAGAAAAAGCCTGTCCCAATGACGTTTGATTACCTGATGGGACACACTTACCGCATAGTGTTATAAAAATGCAAGTAAAGCTTTACAGAGCTTTATTTACACATTGATTTTCAGTACTTTGCGTATGTGACAGACCACACTATTTAGTAGTTGTGGTGGCAGGACTCCAGACTGCAACCAAATGGTTGCATTTTTGTGTCACAGATATGATTTCAGATCAAACAGCGCTGACATATGCAATCCAAAAGAAACATTGTGCCATGAATGAACAAGTTAAAGAAGGCTTTTCAATCCACAACATTCACCATGGATTGAATGTAAGGCTAACTGTAACCATGGTATTGTGCCAGAAATAATCGAACGTTTTTACATTACTCATCTCAGGCTTCGTACAACCAGCACTTATTGACTTGTTAGCCATTTCCACTCCCTAATACAGTAGCTGAATCCGAAATCGCCCCCTAAACCCTCAATCACTATTCCCTACGTTAGTCCACTAATACTGTTCACTTGAAAGAGTGAATGAAAACAAGTAAGCGAATTTCGGACAGCCGTAGAGCGTACGTCGGCTGTACACTCGTTATCGCGGTGCAATGTGGGATAGAATGAGTGCACTCAATAACATCCACTATGGTTTCGGACACTACTACAAATGGCTGTCCCCTCAAATAATGCTCTATTTGAGGGTATAGGGGGCGATTTCGGATATGGAAAAGCCGCAAAGTCTCATGAAAAACAAAAACTTTTCTTCAAATTGTAACTGAATCACACAGAAAGCAAGTAAAGAGCGTTCCTTTTATAATCCCTGATGCTGTCGGTCAGTTCAGAATGATACTATAGTACAACAATGGTACATTCAATTAGAGTAGAATATTTACATTTTCCCTATAAAATGAGATTTTTGCAAATTGATGTTGTTAAGTTAGTTCGTTTTATTCAGTTTTTGTCAGTGTTAAATTTCCAGTCAATAAACATGTAATATTATTAGTAACTGCTCTTATTAATGCAAAACAATAGTAATATGATTTAATTACCTTTATGGTTAAAAACTCCCCCAGCGCCACCAAATAAGGTGCTGGTGCCAGTGACACCATTTGTAGAACTTAGTGGCACCAGAGCGACTGCTCTCAAATGTTAGTCTGGAGCCTGGGTGGTTCTAATTAAGTGATAAAAAGTTGTTGCAAACATTTTACAAAATGCACATACTCATCATGCACCAATAAAATGTGCAAGGCTTTACATTTTACTACCAAATTATACATAATATCTCAGCAAAAGATTAACCTTTAAAGTGCCAAATGGCACACCCTTGGCAACAATTTTAGTGGCAATTTAGTTTTTTGGAGTTCAGTGGATTATATGCTCAGTATTTCTAAGTCAATGATTACCCAGCCTCTTACTCAAATTCCACTAGGCATTAGCCTTCGGAAATATTTGTCAATGAAATGACGCTAAGAACTGTGCTGTAGAGTCTTTTAGAGTATGGTCTCCTCTCTCCTCCACTTTATAGCTTCCAGTGTGGCACTTAGCTCAGCCTCCTTGGCAGTGTGACGTTCGTTCATTACCGCAATTTGCTTCTCCAGTCGCCACAGCTGCTCCTGGTGCTTTTTCCGAGAACTTCTGTAAGTGCTTGAGACTTTACTGTTGAAAAAAATGTTTGTGATTGATCCTAGCATTCGCATATATGTGTGGTTGACATTTAGCTGTACACAGATAATGTTAACGCTAACTTGACACAGATCACCCTACTCTGAGTGGGATTCAAACCAGCGTCAACTGGTGTGTGAGTCGTGGATGCTAACAAGAATGCTACTGTGCCTCTTGAGACCAGGAGAGTGAGGGTTTACTATCACAGCTTTTACCGGTTAGCCTCCGTTACACTGACACTCAACCCCATAAACTCCACTCCCATCTGGGTCACGGCACCAATGAAACTTGTCGTTCTTACCCCATTCCAAACGAGATTCAAATCTGCATCGACTGGCATGGGAATTGTATGCACTAACAAGGACACTGAAGTCCGCAGCCACTAGCATCAGTTGCTAGTGTGCTTCTTGCAGGATAGTTGTTAGCGAAGGGCTTGGAACTGTCAGAGAGTTTTAACGGATAGCTTTTTCCAGGTCAGCTCCTGGAGGGCTACCTTCCTGCAGACTTCAGTTCCAACCCTGCTCCAACACACCTGATATCTGGTTCAGGTGTGTTTGACTGGGGTTGGAGCTGAAATCTGCAGGACGGTAGCTCTCCAGTAACAGGGTCTGAGACCCCTGCTCTAGGTATATTAAACCTTCTTGTTATAAACTGGGTGATCATGTGACTATATCAATTGCTGCGTATACAATTGTGAGTTCAGATACTCTAGTTATTATGCTAATGATAGTATTGTGATGTAAAGTTCATGTGGTTTTGGGTTACTTGTAGTAGCGGGAGAGACGTGCATTCTCCTCTCTGTTGACCCTTCTCTGAGTGGTGCTGTCTGTGACCGCTGAGTCCAGCGACTCACGTAAAGCCGCCACTCTCTTCTTCAGTGATTGCTCCCTGCAACAGGAAGTAGAGCATCCACAGGTTAAGTAATGTGTCTTTTTTCATGAACTGTATGGGTTTGTATGTGTTTTGATGTTTTTTCCCACCTTTGCAATGCTGCTTGCAGTTCTCTTAGGATTGAGTGATTGCGAGGACCAGGAATTTCCCCTTCAACTTCTATATTTGCCAGATTTTCAGCAATTCTCTACAATCGAGACCAGGTATGTCACTTTTCAGTGCTTTTCAAGTGTTTTTATTTTATTTGATTGAATTTCTAAGAGATGAAGCATCTGGTAGTTTAACACATGAAGTGGTAGTTAACAAACCAGTTCATATATATTCACCTAGGCCCTGTTTACACCTGGTATTAAGATGCATTTTGGTCGATCGGATCACAAGTGGATGACGCTAAATACAGGTGTAAACAGGGTCTAAAACATCTTGAGCTTGTCCACTCTCGACCACTTCCAGAGGTAGTCGAAAACGCATTCGACCGGATTGCTTTCGCAGTGTAGACGCTCATGTGGTCGAATGTGCCACAAAAGACCGTCTACTCTCCGCCTACTGACCTAATGCATAAACATTATGGGAAGCGCGCTAGCCAGACGGGATTTAAACTGACCCAAGTCTGGTTTGAAGATGAAAAACTTACCAAGCACAATGTTCTCGCACCATTCCTGATTTCTAACACACACTTCGCCGTTGGTCTCACGGCTGTCAGAGCAGAAACGAAAGCTGCTGCTCTCTGTTTACATTCTCTGTTTTTCCGTCATCTTCAGGCCCGTTCAAATTTAAATTGGGTGAGATTATTTTGTCCATTAGATCGAAAGATAAGAAAAAACACACACATTTACCCGCCCATAGACCCTGCCTCCCTTTGAAGAAATCAGGACAGAAGTGGTTGAAAGTGGACAAAAGAGACGGATTAAAACACCAGGTGTAAACGGGTTTGAGTCTCCCTCGTCTACTTGACATCCGATCGACCAAAACACATCTTAATACCAGGTGTAAACAGGGCCTTAGATCAGCTGGACTAACCTTCTATTGACAAATTAACTCTACAGATTCCTAATTGCAAGAACAATTGTAATTGTGGCAGAGGGGCTGAAGTATTAAAGTGACCCTATTAAGCTATGTTAAAGGTTCCTAATTTTGTTTTGGAAGTCACCTACAATAGGTTTATATGCATTCAAGGTCATGCCATGGTATATTATTATCTCTCATAATATACATTGCAGCTTATTATTACGTCTATTACCATATCTACATTTCAGCTCTGGAGGCTTCAGCGCTTGATTTAAAGTGATACAAACATTGGCATTGCTTTTTAGGTCCTCATCCTTTTGAAGTGCATGCAAAGTGGATTTGCAGCGGTAAAAACAGCGGTTTCTCGACATGTCAACATCACAACCCAAACTCTTCTAATTTCAGCTACAACTACAGTGTTTGAGGGCAGATCAAAGTAGACATTGTTGACGGGCAGCCAATGAAGACCATAGGCTGGCATAATGAGAATTTGTTACATTGTTATGTACGTATGTAACAGTAAGTGAGACTGGAATTCCTGATGACTCGTTTCAACGGTTCAGAATCGATTCTTTCTTTTAGGAGACAATACGTTTATTTGTCTTGCACTTTGATCTTTAAAACTCTTTTACATGCGCAAACAGCTATATTACAAACTGCGTAAAAGGTCATATTCGAAAAGCATAATAGGGGCACTTTAAACTTGAACTTTTGCATTTTGAGACCATGCAAACATAAACCAGTGGTGTCCTGCACCTGGGGGTCACCTTCCAGCAGAATTTAGCCCTAGCCCTAATTAAACACACCTGGACATGCTAATCGAGGCCTTCAGGATCACTAGAAACTTGAAGCTAAACTCTGCAGGAAAGTGGCCCTCCAGGAGCAGGATTGAACACCACTGTCCTAAACAGTCAGAGGTGAAGATTGTGCAGGCTAATAAAGAAAAATAAGCTTTTAGGTCATTCATATTATTTCTCATATGAGGTCAAAGCACCTGCTGGGTGGCTCTCCTCTCCCCAAGCTCATCTCGCAGACTGTCCAGGATCAGAGCACCAGCAGAATCTTGGGCACTCTGGACCATCAGCGCCAGGTCCAAACACCGTCTCTCTTTTTCCAGAAGCCGAAGATTCCCACGCATCTCTGACATCTCCTCCTAAAATTAAATCAAGTTACGAGAAACTTTCAATTTCAACTGTAAAGTAAATATGATAAAACTGCATTGCATCATAATCATCATAATGCTGCAATGCTGTTACTCATAACATATATATAAAGTATATTAAAGGTGCAATGTGTAAAAATTTGGAGTATCTATTAACAGAAATGCAATATGACATCCATAACTATGTTTTCAGTGGTGTATAAAGAACTTACTTAATAAACCGTAATGTTTTTATTACCTAAGAATGAGACATTTATATCTACATAACCACGGGCACCCCCTTCTATGAAGGTCGACATATTGTGACGTCATGTTTCTACCGTAGCCGACAGCGAACACACAGCGCTACAGAGCGCGTTTCGTCACTACCTTGAAAGAGAAGCAGCAGAAAGCTAGAAGCTAGCCATAAACACCGTGAGTAGTGACTTTTCCCTTGTCAGTGGTGTAAAATATGTAGTTGGACTGTTTCATGTAACTTAGTTCTTCTCCCTCGCTGTGTTATGGCTTTGCTATGTGGGGATAAATGAGCTGGTTATGTTCGTGAGACAGCTGATTAGTACTCTTGTCATTGACCGTAAAACAGTTACAGGAATCACCAACCCGTCGATCGCGGTCGACAAGTTGATCTTGGAAGCATTTTAGTCGATCGCGAAGAGTTTTCAAAATCAGAGAAAAAAAGCCTATTGTGTGTAGTAGATGGTGTCTAGGGGATGCGGAGGCGCGTGCGCTGTTACAATCATGTCATTTTTGTCGCGCACCTTTGGGCTCATGCGGGCTCGAGTTTAAACAAGGCTTTACGCTTTAACCAGCTCAGCCACAGTAACAGCTCATATTAGCCAGCTAAACTTTTACAACCCTGTTAGAAAAAATATATAGTTGCATAGTTTCATGTGGTTCTTCTATGTGGGGAGAAATGAGCTGATTACTATTATTATATTATATATTAAGACCCTTGATCCTCACCTGACTATGGCTTTGTAAACTTTATCCATGATGTGGTTTATAATGGACTGTGGTACAATGTTACACACTCTTGGCTTACTCTGGCTATTCTCTGCTGTCTCAGACGACGATATGTTTGTCCCGTTTTAGCCACCGTAGCTTCTTCGAAAGGGAGGGGTGAGCAGTGGGCTGAGCCCTTAGTGCAACTCGCAACCGAACCGCTAGATGTCGCTAAAAATCACACACTGCACCTTTAATTATAAAACTTGTTCTGAAAAAAGGAAGTAGGGGTGAACTTTTCAAAATTGCCCACCCTGACTGTCACCAGCTCATACAGTAGAACCGCTTTCTCTTCTTTGGTGTTTTTGGAAAGTGAACTGGTGCGACCTCTGACCCCTGCAAGCGTGCCAGTGTCTGGACTGATCTTGCCCTCTCCTGCTTTGCCCCTCTGCTGCGGGATACACATTGCGGCCCTGTCCTGCTTCAGCCTGGCGATCCTCTGGAGAATTACACCAGCCTGGCCCTCAAACTCCTGCCCCGATAAGCTGGAGTGTACAAAAAAAGAGAGAGAGAGAGACAGAGGCTTTTCAGAACTAAGATGACGTCTGTTTCATTGTCAGACCAAAATAAGTGGATTGATTGAATTGGTTCGGGAAGGTAATTGCATTTTAAGCCCTTGTAATTAATCTAATTAGGATTGAAAATTAGACTAAAGCTTTGGTGAGATACTTACTCTCAGATTTGAGCTGCATGCCTATTTCCATTGAAAATAGTATGCAAAGGTGCACAAATGGATTACCAAGTTTATCAATGTAATTACACTATAGAAACAGAGGTATTTTAAAATACATTTTTTAATTTTTAAAATAAGCTTAAAGTCAAGTGTAAAAAAGCTATCACTGTGTCTTAATTCCCATGCCATCCATCATAAATAGTATTAAAAATTAGAATTAGAGTGTCCCAAATCGTAGTATGTTGAAATGAGTATTCCAAAGATAGTCTACTTTTTTCCGGTTAGAAATTCGAAGTTCAGATCCGTGCACACTCTAACGGCTAATATTGCCCACAACCCATCGCGTGTTGGACGAGGATTCGATTAAAACTACAAACATGAATAAAAAGTGTTAAACTACAAACATGGCGGATGTGCGAGTCTGACGGTTTCATAGAGAGGTTTAAATAGAGGGGTTTGAGTGATTGATTATCAGTATCTAACCTGATTAAAAGATATGTATTCAATGTTATCCACATTATATTTCATCGGCTACAGCATTATGAACTTTTGTAATGATACATTTGGTCATTACCTTTTAAATGCATTATTATGCAAATTGTAAACACATTCAGTTCTCCATGAAAGAGCCACGACTGACAGATCAACGTGCTACAACATGTCTCTCTGAAACGCCCACACAGAGGTCAGAGCCGAACCAAGATGCTTGCTATTGGTCAGCACTGCAAATTGGTGTGTCAGTGATCACCAAAGCATTTTTTGTGGAGGAATATGTCTCTTTACCATCTCAAGTCCTTCCAGTGAAATTTTTTGTTTTGCTGATTCCCATTGCATTTCGCATATGTCGAGCAACAGTAAATATGATGCAACAACCTGTTTGTTCTATTCTCAGCAGTGCCCTCTAGTGGACTGGAGGATGGCTCGCCTTTGTCCGAGTTCACGTCTGTTAACTTTGAGAGGTCAGACTGCGGTGTGCTCATTTGTTCTGTAAGAAAAACAACACTGTATTTGTACGTGTGTGGTTGTACATTAATGTGTTTATGTGTCACATGAGCTGTAATTCAAAGGGTGTGCAGCACCCGCGTTCTGTTGTCTTCTGGCTTCGCACAGGGATAGTAGGTCACTGTAAGCCTCCTCACACTCCTCACTGTCAATCAAAAAGCCATTATCAGCATACCATTCACACACACACAGTGCCAATCTTAGGGGCCAAAGGTCAAGGTTTACAATATCAAAAAGAGTCAAGAAAACAGTTTCAGGATCAGTTTTAGAAGCAATCGTGATATGCCAAAGGGACTAAGCCCTGATCCTGGATCAGTGGCAGTTTTCGGCTCATGCAGTGGGAGACAGAGGTGAAGACAGCAGCACACCAGTATGCCAGAGCCATGTGTAGAGCCGAGCTGTCTGCCTCCTGTCGGCTAAGACTCATGCTCAGCTGCTCTGATTCTCCTTTCCTCCTGACCAGTGCGCCATTCAGGCGCTCATTCCGAGCTTTCAGTCGCTCCAGACACCTGCTCAAACAAAGCACACCTGTCAGAAGAGATTCAACAGTTCCAGCCTTTCAAACTTATACAAAGATTACGGCTTACTAAGGCCTCACTATTTGACCAACACCCTAACTCAAAGTATTAAGCTGGTATGCGGCAAGAAAGAAAAATTCACCCTATCTGTTATCCATGCATTTTTTTTTTACCGTAATTCTTCATTTAAATGTCATTTCATTAAATGGACTGCAAGCTCGCATTCAGCAAGGGGAGTGTATTGAGTTCATTCAACAGATTATTTTTAGTCTTTTTCTATAATCCGTACATCACAATGCATGTCTCTACTTCCATTTCAACACTACATTAAACACAAATATATATGGTGCGAATATGAATGACACCTCAAATTATTTATCTTGTTCTGAAGAGGTGTGTAAATTCTTTGAATTTTTTTTTTGGCTGGGCAGACAAGGCAAGAAAATCCTATAGTCTAACAGTAAAGGTGGGCTACAATCCCTATGTAGTGACCAGAATAACAAAGCCTTGGGGGTGGACTCTTTTAACTTTTGACAGTGAGAAATGACCCTATAGCAACCATCAAGAACAGCCTAGCAACCGCATAGCCCAGTAGCACCTCAATGCAGTACATGAGATCCACGGGGAGGAGTCGGATCAAGATCCAAGGGGTGGAGATGGGTAGGATTAGGGGTGGGTTTAGGGATTAGGGGTGGGTTTAGGGATCAGGGGGCGGAGATGGGTAGGTTTAGGTATATGTAAGGTGGGAGGTGTTGGATCTGGATCCGACTCCTCCCCGTGGATTTCATGTTCTGCAGTGAGGACCATCTCGCATAGCCACTCAGAACACCTGACCAACCAGTCAGCAACCATCTAAAATGCCCTGTTTTGCACCCTTATGTATTGATTTATTTTTGAGATTGTTTTATTAGACTAATGGCCAGCGATTATCTGGGAGAGAGAGGAGGGAATGGAATCAAGAGCTCAGTATTGATGAATAAAGCTATTAATCTCTCACCTCTGCAGCTTTTCGATCTCAGCCTGAAGCACAGAATCAACGGTGAAGGGAGATGAAGGGGAGTCCGGCCTGGAGCCAGGCAGTTTGCGGGACAGCAGAGGGGATCCAGGATATGGAGGAGAGGAAAAGCAAGGGCTCGAAGTTCGACTAGAGGACAGTGATGGACTAACAGGAGGAGAACGACTCACTCCGTACAGCCACTTCCTCTTCAGGTCCACTAACTGCCAAAAGATGAGTTCAGCGAGAGTGAAAGTTAGAAAATTACAACACAATGACTGAATTAAAAATACCTAATGAACATTATTTCATCAAATGTCTTACTTGAAGACTTTTTAACTTATTAGTAAGTGTATTAATAGTTTGAGGTTATATACATTCATTGTTAATATAATTTAACATAATGTTTCAGTGGCTTATGAACTTTTAATATCGAAATATATTTTAATATAATTATATATGCAATCATATTCTAATATACTTTTAAAATATTCACTATATTGCTCTAAAATGTCAAAATTGCGAATATCCCAATCAACCTTTTCCATCAGCCACTTTTTCTCGTCCTCAAGACCAATCAGCAAACTTTCAGCTCCTAGAAGCTCTTCCTGGTGGCTCTTCAAGGAGGTGTTGAGGTCTTGGTTGTGTTTGTACAGTGTGAGAACATCCCGCTGATACTGACGTCTCTCATCAGGGGGAAGAGCAGAGGGGTATGAGATCCCCAAATCGCTCTCCATCTCCTCCAGCACCTGGATCAGATTACAGAGATCAGAGCCTGAGGAAGTTCAGACGCAGTCGAGTACACACATGCAACAGCGAGAGGCTGGATGAGCACCTGTGTGGCCTTCACCCAGCTCTCCCGGCCTGCAGAGACATGGTGTGCTTGAACTCTCTCCGAATTCTGCGTTTGCAGCCTGAGCATCTTCCTCCCATGACCGCTAGAGATCTCGAGAGCAGAGAGAACCTTCTGCAGCTCGTTCCAAAGATCACTGCTGCCCCCTGCGGGAAAATTCTTTTTATGTACATTTCCAAGTTTTTTATTGCTATATTCAAATTATTCAGACAGTTGTTAAATTAACTACAAAAAATACTAAAAATGTAAAGAAAAGAAAATGTGGAAAACATCACTAATAATGTTGAATTGTATTATTATTAATAACATTAATATTCTCGATTTATAATTATTGATTATTTTTGATTATTTAATTATTAAAAAAATAAACATTTTATTTTTTACTTTATTCTTTAGATAGTTATCATTATTATGTAATTTTAGAATGTATAAAAATATAATATTACAATTATATAAATTAATAATATGAATACAATAACGTTATGATTTTCTTTTTCTTTTTGATTAGTGTTATTTTCTTTCGGTGAGTTTTTTTGTAAGAACGAATATGGATGGAGTTGGGAGGAAAAATGTAGCAAATAATGTTGAATGACGTTCGAAATGTATGTAATAACTTTTATTATTAATTATAATTCATTATAATAATACACCTTTAGATGTTTGCACTCCATTACAAACACAATTCCTAGATTTAGCAGTATTCGTTTTTCTCCCAAATCCATCCATTTCATTCTTACAAGAAAATCTAAAGAAAATGTTGCAAAACATCACTAATTATCCTAGAATTTTTTATGATCATTATTTTTATTCAAATTATTATAATTAAAACAGCAAAAGTATGTATTATGTATGTATATTATTACTTTTTAGTTGTTTGCACTCCATTATGAACACAATTCATAAATGAATTCAGGTTTTTTTTTATCATAAATCATAAAAATTCTCATGAGTCTTGATTTAGAGAAACATACTTGCATGCGTATAGGAAATGTTCAAGTTTAATAAGTAGTTTTGCATTTGGAAACTAAAGTCTGGCGGGACCAATAGTCCAGTAAATAGCAGGCTGTCCGTTCTGACGCAGCATTTACTGTGATGGACGATGAGGCATTGCATAAACAGAACGTGCCTTCCGAGATGTTCTTGGTCTTGGTCTCCACAGATGCTGTGCCAGCGTCCGCCGCTGTGAGGCTGTAGGCCGGAGATCTCAAGCCCTGCTGCGGGACGCCCCCACTGACACACACGTGACCCTCAGGCGGTTTCATCTCTCTGAGAACACAGACCCTTTCACATACTGTTCACGTGAGAGCAAAACTACATCGTTCGCAATTGTCTGAGACGGGTATTACCGTGGTATTTGGAGGGAGTCCATCTTCCTGTTGAGCTCAGAGATGATCTGCAGTAAAGTGCTCACCTCGGTCTCACACTGCGCCAGCTCAGAGTCCGCTGACTCCAGACTGTCCGATCTCTGCTGGAACGTGTCACTTGTGTGAAATAATGTGCAAAACCAGTCTTTACTTACTTCAGATACAGAATTGAGCCAAGTTGGGTTAGGTGGGATGACACTGTCAACTGGCCTAAAATAAGTATTTAAACACTTTCATTCAATATAATCCAAGTAGCATCTGCAAACAAAGGATGCTAGAGCTCAGAACTAAATTCAATGACATTTAAAGTGACACAGGAGCAGTTCAAAACATTCACTCTGATTGTTCCACTAACATGACAACCAGGAAGAGTCCGTTTCATTTGGAGCATATCTATATTGTTCTATAATGTAGATTTTTTTTCTTTGTACATCAAAACAAACTCATGAAGATGCCTATAAAACAATATGGGTGTTGATGTTTTCTGCACTCTTTTGTTCTGAGGGGAGGAGGAGGAAACAGGCACATCCTGTAACCGCACTTCCTACAGCCGCATTGTGGAGCTTACTGTGAAAAAGTAGCTCTCAAACTGTTGTTCTCAGTATTCAGATATAAATATCATTTAACTATATGGTTTCAGGACCTCTTTTGCTGTAGATGTTTCTGCCAATGAATTGAGTTTGGTTTGAAACTGGTGACTATTCTAAATTCCCTTGCAGCACTATACTATAAATGACATTTCATGATTTAAACCGTTATTAAAATTTGATCGTTACTAAAAAAAAATACAGTTTTTTACAAGGTTGCATTAACATGTGATTAAAAACTAAAACTATTTTTCTGCTTTTTGGATCAGTCTGAGAGTACATCGCATCACCGTCCCAGAAACTCACCTGTGTCATTTGTCTGATCTTGGTTCAGGTCCTGTCCTGAATGAACGAGTGATCCAGTGCTGTCTCTGTGTCTCATGTAAAGCTTGTGAAGCGTGTGAGCTTCAGCATATCCTGATCAAACACTCTTCTTCTCCACTTTACTGGGCTAAACCTGCTCTCTGCTCCACACATCTCTTCTCTTCATTGTCGTCTCCACCCACTGTCTTTTTAGATCTTTTCCTGTTTGGTTTATTTTTGACTCTCTTTCTCTATAGAAGATTATTTGATAAATCTTATTGTTTATAAATAAAGTATTTAGAAATCCTCTCATTTAAATGATCACTACAGTGTTGTATTGATTACTACAGTAGCCTACAGTGCTACTATTTGGTAACATGGTTTTAAGGAAAATGGAAGACTAAAATATTCTGTATGCTAAGCCTACAGGAGAAGCTGTAATTTATATCAATTAAATTATTCAGGATAAACCCTCACAGTTCAGGGATTATTATCCAAACAGTGAATCTGAAGCTTTTTTTAAAAAAAGAGTAGCATATTCTTCAACTGTCTATCACCTGTTTTTAAGATTTGTAAGTTAATAAATATAGTTGTTTTGTAATTCAGACATTCAGTTTAGAACCAAACTGACCTTTGAGGTACGTGGTCAAGAGGTGGTCAAACTTTACAATAAGGTTTCATTATGTGTTAACATTAGTTAATGCATTAGCCTAACTTAAAAAAACAAACAATTCATTTTTACAGCATTAATAATGTTAGGCTATTAAGGGTTCACAGACTGAGCATTATACAACTTTTGATCTTAAAAATGTAGTATTAAATGCTACATTAATTCAGATTAATTAATGCTGTAGAAGTAGGCTTATTAGTTAATGTTAACTGATGCAGAGTAAGTAAAACTAATGTTCACAAATACAATTGTTGTTTATTATGAAGTGTTATCAGTAGCCTATGCGTACCTTATTCTTCTCTGTTTATTGTTTTCTCTGACTTGATTTCTATTTAGTTTAGCTTTTGTTGTTGGACTGCTGGTGATAGTAGGCTGATGGAGAAAAAGAGTCGTAGCAGCACAATCACAGTCACATTTTTATCCAGCCGTCCAATCACAGTGGAGAAGGGGCGAAACAAATACCACACCGACCAATCAATCTTCACATTCTGCTTGAGCAACGAAACGACACCAACAACACATCTCTTCATCCAAAATTAATGCCAGAGCAAGTACGTTACATTGTGTAGACATTTTTATGTTCAGAAACAAACTATTTGCGAAATAAGATATTCCATATCATAGCACATAATAGTGTCTCAACTAAAAAAAAAAAACGCTACGGAGAGAAGGCGTTTTCTTTTCAGATGCTGGGCTGGCAACGCTCCTCCAGTCCGCTAGAGGCGCCAAAGAACAGAAACACTCTTCACCACTCGCCTCTGAAAGTCACCGACACAGAAGAGAACGAGGAAGTGTTGAAGAATAATTTTGTGATCTCTTTTTCTCTACTAAACTCATATTTTCATCTGTTGTATGTTCGGTAAGTTATTGTTTTACGTTATTTCGCTATTCTACTTCTGCTGCCTGTTAACGTTACATGTCTCTTATGTTTATTAAATGACCGTTTCTGCTTTATTCAAACAAATATTTAAAAACGTACCTTTAAAAAGCTAATTTAGGTTTAGATTTTAAGTTAAGTCATAATAGAATACTAATTTAATACTAATGACTGTGTTTTTTATTGAAATCATCTGAGAACTGTTTGCTTTTACTTAACCCTTATTCTTTGAAATCTAAAAAAACAAACAAATTCTGTATATTATACAGTATTTTAGTATATGTTTGGTTTATGTACATGTGTGTATATATATATATATATATATATATATATATATATATATATATATATATATAATTATTATTTATTTATTTTTTACTGTTGTTTACTGTCTATGGGATGGTGTCAGGTTGCGATGGAAACCCCTGAGCCCGGACAGGCAGATGGAGAGGAGCGTATGATGGACCTGAGACCCAGGACCCGGTCCAATCCGGAGGGTGCGGAGGACCGACGCAGCAGCACTGGAAGTCTGAACAACAGCAGCCTGGCCTCCCCCCCGCAGCCTGCCGTGGGCAGCCGTGTAGAGGGAGAGGGAGAGGCGGCCAGCTCTGATAGCCCACCGATATCTGCCACCACCATCCCAGCCGCTGCCGCTGCCACTGCCACTGCCCCTGCCCCTGTAGCGGCAGCAGGAATCAGCACAGTCAGCATGCCTACGCTGGCTTCTGCAGTGAAGGAAAGACCTAAACCCCCTCAGCCATCCATGGCCCCCCAGATCCCCCCATCAGCAGAGTTACACCTGCGGGCACCACGGGTCAACTGCCCCGAGAAAGTCGTACGTGTGGCAATAAACACAACTTCACAATATTTGGTGCATCTGAAAACACTTTTGTCATTCAATTATATCTTTCTAACAGATCATCTGTTTGGACCTTTCAGAGGAGATGTCTCTACAAAAACTGGAGTCCTTCAATGGGTAATTTCATATTTAGTTTTTTTAATTTATTGTTATTATTCAATTTTTTTCCTTGATATATACTACCGTTCAAAAGTTTTAGATCAGTAAGATTTTTTCATGTTTTCAAAAGCAGTCTCTTCTGCTCACCAAGGCTGCATTTATTTGATCCAAAATACAGTAAAAACTGTAATATTGTGAAATTTAAAATAACTGTTTTCGATTTGATTATATTTGAAAATGCAACTTATTCATGTGTCTTCAGTGTCACATGATCCTTTAGAAATCATTCTAATGCTGATTTGCTGCTCAACAAACATTTATTATTATTCAAGAAATCATTCAGTGTTGAATTTTTTTTTCAGGATTCTTTGATGAACAGAAAGTTAAAAAGAACAGCATTTCTCTGAAATAGAAAGCTTTTGTAACATTATACACTACCGTTCAGAAGTTAGGGGTCAGTGAGAAAGAAATGAAGAAATAAATCAATTAAAATATGGATTAAATTGATCAAAAGTTACATTAAAGACATTTATAATGTTACAAAAGATTTCTATTTCAGATAAATGCTTTCCTTCTGAACTTTCTGTTCATCAAAGAATCCTGGAAAAAAAATTCAACATTGATAATAATAATAATATTGCTTGAGCAGCAAATGAGCATATTAGAATGATTTCTGAAGGATCATGTGACACTGAAGACTGGAGTAATGATGCTGAAAATTCAGATTTGATCACAGGAATAAATTACATTTTAAAAAAATATTTCACAATATGACTGTTTTTGCTGTATTTTGGATCAAATAAATGCAGCCTTGGTGAGCAGAAGAGACTTCTTTTAAAAACATAGAAAATCTTATCGATCGAAAACTTTTGAACGGTCGTGTATTCTAATTGAAATGACAAATATATCTTTCTATAAATGTTTTGCATTAAATGTAAATGATTTGCATTTCCAGATCTAAGACAAACGCCTTAAATATTTCTCAGAAAATGATTGAGATGTTTGTGAGAACCAAGCACAAGATTGACAAAAGGCATGAGTTTGCTCTGGTGGTGGTGAACGATGATGCCATGTGGGTGAGTGGACAAAACCACAGCTTCAACTACACAAAATCAAACGTTTCTGCCATTGAATTAAACGGTCTTTGGGTAGTTGACAAATGGGTCCGTGCTAAACAAATTCTGGGTCTGTTAATTTAATCAGAAATATTTAATTTTCATTAAAAGAATGAAATTCTTTCAAATCACTTCTTTATTTCATACAAAATGCTTTGTCATTTTAGTATTAATTATATAATATTATTGTATTTATTATATACAGAAGCGTATTGCATTCACTTGAGGAAAAAAAAATCTACTCTGTTTTTCTGAATTAACGAGTTAATTATCTCAGAATTACGAGATAATTTTTCGTTAAGAACAAATTAATGACTCATTAATTCATAAAAACAGAGTGAAAAAAATGTTTTTCAAGAAAAATGTGTAAGGGGTGTACAGTCAAAGACCCAGAACCAGATATGAAGAATGAAGACCCGGAGTCAGAATTATAAAAAATTAAAGAAAAGTTTTACTGAAGATAGTTTGCATTTTCATCAGCAGAAGTCAGCTTCAAGACTCACACAGGAGTTCGTAGGCCGCCCCCCCTTACAGTTACAAAGATCACAGCAGTTATACCATTTCCAAGGTCTAAGCTACGTCATTGCTTACAGGTTGAATGATTCTCATTGGCTAAGAAACATTAAAGCCTAAACAATTTAACACATGTGAGGAGATAGGGGTGCCTATCGCCATTAGTAAAGATAGTTGTCGTCCACTCATTGGATTTAGGTCTGTGGTGGCCTCGCAGGTTAGAGAAGGGCGCCGGGGTGTCTGATCCGACCGTCCAGAACCTACATAGAATGTCATACGCACACACACACAAATAACAGACACTAGCAAATAACAGCTCCCATCAAGGCTGAAGAGAGTCTGAGCTCCTTATTATCAGTTAAGTATACCAAAACATACTGCTAAAACATTCACTCGTTTGGGAGAAAAACAGATCACTGGTATTTACTCCCAAGGAAGGAAATATACTGGAAAGAATACATTTTAATACAACAATTAAAGTTTGATAGTAACGCTCAATATAGCTTGACCATATGTCCAACGAAGGATCATATGTGTCCACGCTGCCTTTAGGACCCTCTAACCTTTCTACTGATCCCAGAGAAAGAGACAAACGGCCTTGTGGGTTACGTGGCCTTCGTGTCCTGCGTGTACTACGTGCAATCTCAAAGTAAGATTGGAAGGCACCTAAAAGAAACTGGTTACTTGCATCCATGCATTTAAGAAAATATAATTTCACAGGCACAAGAATATAAAAATTATTATGTGATAATGAATATATTTGATTATTGATTTTTATAAAGGAAGTATATAACCATTCAAAATGACATGATTATATATGTATTTGAAGAGGCAAGGGATTTTGACCAACCCTTCAAATGTATCTCATAATTCTGAGATAATTAACTCGTTAATTCAGAAAAACAGAGCAAAAACTTTTTTTCCATGAAAAATTATCTCGTAATTCTGAGATAATTAACTCGTTAATTCAGAAAAACAAGAGTAGATTTTTTTCTTCAAGTGAATGCAATATACGCTTCCGTAATTATATAGCTTTTAATTTTACATATTTTTTCAGTTTCTATTTTAGTTTATTCATTTTGTTATGTGCTTTTGTCATTTGTATTAGTTTTTATATTTCTATATAGATTTAGTACATTTTCATTTCAGTTTTAATATTGTACTTCAACTTTTTATTTATCTATTTATTTGAATTTGTCTATTTCTCCATTTCATCTAATATTTCCATTTTATATTAGTTTTAGGTAAAAAATAACAACAGTTATTGACATTTTTCTTTCACACAGTTATCAGGCTTCACCTCTGACCCGCGAGAGCTGTGCAGCTGTCTGTACGACCTGGACACCAACGTCTGCGAGTCCTTCAGTATCCTTATTTTTACAGTCAGGCGCATTTTGATGTGCTTTTGGAATCGAGTCGGTCCAGAATCCAGATAAACATTGAAAACAGTGAGAATGAATCATGATCATAATAATCATTTCTTTAACTGTTACCTGTAGATCTGGAAGATTTCCTCAATGTCATGTAAGTAGTTTTTGTCTTCTGTTTTTGATCGTTTGACTTACATGATTTTAATCTGTTGAATTTCTTTCTCTTGTAGTTTGCAGAAAATCGAACTTCCTCAGATGGAGAACATCCAGACCATCCCGCCTCCTTTTGTAGTTCGGACCCTCCTCATCTTCAGCCGGCCTTCTGGCATGCTTCAGTTCAATCCTCCTGATGCTGTCAAAGTAAGTCTGTGTCACCCATGTTACTGTACAATCATGGGGCAATGACAAGAACATCTGGATCTATTTATTTAAAAAATCATTTAAAAAAGCAATTCACACTTCACACCAATTTATTTTAAAGATACTTGTTTTCGTATTTCTGGATTCAAATAAATTTGTATATTTTTGGGCGGCATAAAAATCCAAAAATATCAGGGTTGGTACATTTGATTCGATATCAGAAAAAGGCCTTAGCAAAAGGATGATTCTTGAAACCTAATCGTTAAGTTATATTGTATAACTATATTATATGGCTTCTTGTATTTAGTTATATTATTTTTAGGGGCAAAAAAAAAGTGTCCAAATTTTAGAGATGCATGAAGCACTGCTCATACAGAAGTCACTTCCAAACCAAGCAGCTTTCTGTTGGTCAGCACAGTGAATCCCGTTGAACTCATTGCGAAATTGGTGCAGGGAAATCTTTCAGTGCTCTGTAATATTCCAGATCATTTGGATTTCATGCTCAAACTGCAAAATTACACACTAAAAATTTAAAAAAGCCTAATTCTTACAACTTTAATCTAAATTATTCATCATCAAAAGAGCAGTCCTGTATGTCTCTAATATGTTCTCTTTCCAGAAAATGCTGCAGTCTCCATATTTCTTCTTTGATGTTGTGTATCTTCATAATGGAACTGAAGAACCGACTGAGGACGCGAGCTGGAAGGTTTGAGCTTCCTGTGATTCCCTTCCACCAACTCAAGTTATTATTTGCCTGTTTGTTTACATTTTGATTTTTATTGGAGGTACTGAACCTTTGTGGCTGTATTTTCAGGACGTGTACACCACCTTCAGTGAGTTGGACTCTAAGGGCATGTGCTATCAGTTTGAGGTGTCACTGTGTGGTCCCGCTATTGAGCTGCACAACTGTATGGCCAAACTGCTGTGCCACCCGCTGCAGAGACCCTTCCAGAGCCACGCGTCCTACAGTCTGCTGGAGGAGGACGACACGCAGGAGAATGAAGCCACAGTGTGAGCTTTTACTCAATATACCCCTGCAAATCTAGAGACTGACGAACTCCAAAATGAAGGAGTGACTGTGAATAACTGCATATATATGGCCCTGTCCACTATTTCTGTTCTGGGAATGTCTCTTTTATTACTTTTGAAAACATCAGTGACTTAATTTAATAAAGCAGCCGTAACCACACAAGCTCAAGAGCCTATTGTGAAACAGTCAAGGCTAACCAGCTTATTTTGAGAATATCAACTGTAAATGTTCTGGTTTCTGAAGTGAAATTTATTTAACATCCATTTGTTCTGTGGTGGAGATTCCCGGATGAGTTCATGTGGTGGGTTATAAGGGTTTGGTGAGGCATCTAATAAATACTGTTTGCTTGCTCCTGTCAAATAAATTAAATGTAAATGCTCTAGAGAGGTTCCTTATACTATACAGTCCACAAAAACATGGTTGATGGGAAACAGTACATTGTTGACCATTTTTTTTGTAAAAGACAATGGAATAAGTCATTTGAACTGCATTTTACTTTTTGAAAGAAATCTATATTTAGTGGGAACTAATAGTTGACGAGGCTTGATGCTATCCATCATAATTTGATTAGATAGCGAAAAGCATTCTAGGATATTATCAGTTAATTTTATTAACTGAATCCCTCATAAACATTATTTTGTATTGATGTACTGTATGCTACACTTAATTGTTTATTATGTGCTGTACTAACCGTATATCCTGGCAATAAAGTTCTGAAAAGAGCCAGTGAATTTTACATTTTAAGTTACAGAACGTCAGCGACATGCATTTAAAAGTAGGGGCAATTTTGTTTTGTTGTTCTGAAGATTGTAATATCCACTATAGATACTTTGAAAACATTTAATAAAGGATTAAATAAATTAAAGCAGCAATACAATTGCGTGACCACAAGAGGTCGAAAGAGTACAGCCGGACAACAGAAAACTGACTTCATAATAAATATTGAATTACTTTGATTTACCTTTGGGATTAATAATTGGAATTGTTTGTGGTTTCTTTAGAAAAAGCTTTGTTTTGATTCTTTGACCACACAAATTTTGCATCCTGCTATTGAGCAGCACTAAGGCGCACACTACTGCACAGATAATAGTCGGAAGAGTGTTCAGGTCACTTTTTTTTCTGTGTTATTGTGTTAATAATCATTGACCTCTTTCACTTTGCAACCTCCTAAATTCTGAGAAGTATTTTGTTCCAAGCTGTAAACAAAGATGGAGGAAAACCTCAATCAAGATGCTGAATTCTTAGAAAGGGTCTATATATTTTTTTATGGCTATAGAAATTATGCCATAGAAGAATGTTTTATCATTTTAATCATTTAAGAAACCTTTTGTCCACTATTAAGAATCTTTCGGGGAATGGGAAAGTTTCCATGGATGTTAAAGGTTCTTCATGGAACTGTAGATGGCAATAAAGAACCTTTATTTATTTATTTATTTATTTAAGTGTACCCACGAATACTCCTAAATGTGCATTATTCCTTTTTCTTGTTCACCTAATATTTACTCCCCCTGGTGTTGTTCCAAACCTGAATGGCACACACTATAATCCTCAACTTTTCTTTGACCGAATTTTACATTTTGGGTGAAATTATTTTTTAAATGAAACTCAATATTTGATAGCACCAAACAAATTCTTGGCGTAATGAATAGATCTTGAGCCCTCGCTCTGATATCCTTTTATAATCTCCACAGCTCATCTGTGTGTTTTTTTTTTTTCAAATGTTATCAGTGTTCGTCTGTCTTTTGCAGATTCAGCTTCCTGTTTTTGTCTTAAAGCTCACCTGCAATCTGTAAGGGATTTTGTGAGAACTTTTAGTCAGTTTTAGTCACCCTCTGTAAATGACTTTCCGTTGAGGATGGATTGGCAAAGAGACAATGGCCTGCAGGAAAACCCCTGACTTACTTTATGTTCCCTCTTCACACTCTCCCAGACACGGCTGTCAGCTGCGAGCGTCATCACTAGCCCGGGATCAAACGTGCTGCCGCCTCCTCCTGGGCTTCTGGGAGAGTTTGTTATTCATTCCTGCGAGGAGGATGACGGGTCACCATTGTTGTCCCTCCGACTCCACCGATAGTCTCTGCGGCTCTGCAGGAAACCATTTCGGATGGGTTGTTTTGATCATGTGTGTTTATGTATCTGATCTGATCCAGGAAGAGATGGAAGGACCTGCTTTTGTCCTTTGGAGGAATATTGTTTTTCTTGGCCAAAGTGGGCGATTCCAAAATGACACTTGATATAAAATTCATTAACTCATTATGAAATACTGAGAAATAACAAAATGGACGCCAAGAACATCTAATCCCAAATCCCACAGTGAAATTATGAAATAAGTGTTATAGATAAGTCTGATGGTGGTCTGCATTGCTTGTCAGGGTTGGGTGTGATTTATGAGGGGAAGTAAGGGAGGAGCTGTGGTTCGTTTCTCTCTGGAGATCTCCGTAGGTTCAGCGTGAAGTACCGATAACCTCTGGAGCTTTCCTGTGGAGGCCCGGAAAGAGTCACGGCGCGGGAAGTGTCTCTGCGTTTATAAACACAGCTAACGCCCCTTGTCCTGCTAGAAGTGTTTACATGTCTTAGCCCACGAGTGTGACAGCACTGCAGGGTATTTTGGTAACCTTTTAACCATTGCTTTTTCGTAACAAACCACTAGAATCCCAGTCGTCAGAAGGTTCATCTCTTTCCCACCACTGGACCGCAGAAATGTACAACAACAGCTACTCCCGGGCCACATTCGGGCTGGAGGCGAAACAAATCCACAAGGCGAAGGGGAAAAGCTGCGGCTACTACATGAGGATCGTGTTCTTCTTCTCGTCTCTGATCCAGTCTCTCATCATCGCCAGTCTGGTGCTCTTCCTTGTGTACGGCCAGCCGGAGAAGACCGCCGATGAGAAGAGAGTAGAAGAGCTGGAGCAGGCCTTTAACAAGCTCTCCGCAGACAACAACAAACTCCGAAAAGAGAAAGCTGACCTCGCCGGTGCCCTCAAAGCGAAGACTGGAGAGAAGGATGCGGCAGACAAAGAGATAGCAAAGCTGAAAAATGACTTGAACACGACAAGTTTCAATAGCAAAAACTTGCAGAAGGCACTTGTAAGTCCTTTATTTGCTTGTATCTGAACTTTCGAGTCGAATTTCAAATAACACCCAAAACTGAAAATCCTCATGTCGTTCCAAAGCTGCATGACTTGACAAAAGTTGACAAAAAAATGTTTTGAAGAATGTTTCCAATGTTTATAGTTAGTTAGTGTTACATTGGATTCGATTGACTTTCAATGAATGGACCAAAAAATAGACATTCTTCAATATGATTTCATTTATGTTCCACAGAAGAAAGAAAGTCATACAGGTTTGGAACGATATGAGTGTGAGTAAATGAGGAGTGCAGTTCCATTTTTTGTGTGAACTATCCCTTTAATTCCAAGATACTATGAGGTTAATCTTCTGTTATTACCTTTAAATTAATTAATTTCACCTGCCCTTTCACACCCTTGGTATATTAATCTTGTAATCCTAACCCTAACAATCATTACAAGTTTGATTTTGATTGGTTGTTTTACAGTCTCTTTGTGAGATCAATAAAATGAAGCTTTCAAGCACTCGAAATACTCCACTCCCATGTCCACCAATCAACAACAATCTGAATGGTGAGTGCAATAAATAACTGATCAATGAATAATCAAATTCATAAATGGACTGTCCTGTAGACGTGCCTCTCTTTTCTCTTGCCAGGTGAAGTAAAAACTCTGAATACCCTTCTGGATCAGCAGAAAGTTATGTATGGTATCCTTAAGAGCAACTTCAGCCAGACAGTGGAGTACCTCAAAGCTGACTTGGACAACGCAGTGAAGGATAAAAACCAACATCATACTCAGGTGATACAACTGAGACAGGAAAACGTGAATTTGAAATCCCAGCTTGATGTTTACACCAAGAAATGCAAAGAAGACTTTGCAGAGTCCCTCATAGGCATCCAAACGGTCACAAGTGCCTTCCTAACCAAAATCGACAACTTCTTCACCAACTCGGTCACGTTTCACCTCACCTGCCAGAAACAGGAAGAACAGATGGACAGGATTCGCTCCAACTGCTCTAGCCTTTCTCGACAGGTGGAGGACAAGTTCCAGAGCTACCTGAACACTGTGGGAGCGAAGGTCTCGAGCATTCAAAAACAGAGCAGCTTGTTGGAAGTACAGAATGCGGAGCTGACTTCAGAACTGGACAAGTGTAAAACAGGTCGAGAGAAAGAGTCTGCAGAGAGCAGCAAAAAACTGCAAGACGCCCAACAGACATATGACAGACAATTGGAGCAGCTTCTCAGGGAGCAAAACAGACTGAGGGATGAAAAGAAACTGGTAGACACCCAGCTCTCTGTGAAAGACGCCACCCTCATATCTCTGCAAAGTGGCTGCGTACAACAGGTAGGAGTTATGTTGGGATGAATACCGATGCCTAAAACATCTAGAAAATTGTGATCATGTTTGAATGTTGTAGAGTGTACAATGATTAACTCAATCTTCACTGCTTCTGCAGCCCAAACTTGCTGGTCTTCAACCCCCGGGAAAGGCTGGCTTGCTCCCACCTGGTAGGAGCAATTAACCACTAAAGGTAAGTGGTCTTCATCCATCATGGGCAGAGTTCTATTAGAAAGTCAGAATTCACTTGGCCCCTACCCACTCTGAAGGGTGACCGATCCTGCTCCTGGAGGAACCAACCTGCCAAAACACTCTAGAGTTAGAGCCCTCCAGGAGCAGGATAGGGCACCCCTGCACTACCCAAAGACATACGTCACGGTCACTTTATTTTTAATCGGAATGTTACCAATGACAGATCTTAGCTCTAAGACCCCTGCCTTTAAGTGTCTAGTGATCCTGAAGACCTTGTTTAGCCGGTTCAGGTCTATTTAATTGTGGCTGGAGCAAAACCCTACTGGAAAATGGCCACCCAGGAGCAGGACAGGACACCTCTGAGCTACTGAGATGGTTGTGGCAAATACAACGTGTATTAAATACAGCCTTGTAAAAATGCCACACTGCCTCTATGTGAGGCAATTTGTTGAAGCAGCATGAAAATGTTCAAATATAGGGAATATTTTCGTCCAATAGTCTCTTAAAGTGATGATACACAGGGCAACTTTTTGAGCAATGTTGCTGGGCAATCTTGCCGAGCGATTGTTGCTTGGAGACTTTCTCATTGAAAATGGGCAATACATTTCTATCTGGATACTTTAGATCGGCCGTGGGCCCCGTGTCTCATCTGGTTGCCCGTTGACGGCAACATTGCCCATCAACATTGCTCAAAAAGTTGCCCGGTGTCTCATCACCTTAAGTGTACAGGGACACAATTTAGGATTTCTAAATAATAAAATTACCCCACAATTAACTGCAAACCCATCATGTGATGATATGACAAAATGATTTCCCTCAAGAAACATCATATGTATACTTGATTGCCTCCATTTTGCTTGGAACAACCTTTCCAAAATGCGTTTTAAAATTTGCCCAGGACCTCCAGAGCTCGTTGTTAACATTTAAAACAAAACATGCAGTACTTTGTGAAGTGCTATATTACAAGTCACATAGTTGCATATAGTCTGAAAGTATAAAATATTACGCTATATAAAAGATATATTAAAAACCCTTTCAGGTTTAGATTTTGAAGAACTAGTGTTGATGACTTATTTCGTTTTCCCTTTTTTCCGTAGGTTGGGTGTGGAGAAAGGAATGATCTGAATCTCAAGGCCGGACTCTGAGTTTTTGAGTGTGGGGGTTTCCTGATTTTTAGCCTGTGATGTCTTTTGTAAATAATGTTGTCACCTTGGATCACTGTAAATGTACATGCACTCGAATGTTTAGTTCACTGTATAGTTGTATTTAAGCGTTACGGGCTGTGAACTTACATGACATGAAGTACTTTAGGGGTTTGATTTAGTTGTTTAGAGTAGTGCAGACGTAAAAATGTGAATAAATACAAGTCTGCCTTTCCAACAATTGATATAAAGTTGTAAAAAAAAAAGCATTAGTTAATGTTAAAATTGAGAGAATCTGATCTTGTGAAAGCTCCACATGTGTTGTGATGTATATAATATTCTTTACACATTAAGAATTGTGTTTCAGCAATTACTTGTTTCAACCATTTGCAGGTTTCAACAACCTTTTACTGTTACTTGTTAATATATTGATCTGTTTTAATAAATAGACATGACATAAAAATCAACTCCTATTTCCATTTTCTTTTTAAACAAAGGAAATTATGACAATAAATTAAGAAATTATGCACTATTTCTAGCTCATTCATTAAATAAGCTGATACTAACATAGCTGCATATTCTTCTGCATTATATGTGTCATTATGAACCCTGTACAATATGTTAATTACTAATTGTGGCCAAAACCTGATACAACTTGAAAGGTTTAAACATGCAGTCGGAACATATAAACTGCATATTTAAAGATTAAATTTAATTTTTAGGTGTGGTGTGTTTTATATGAAGGGGAGGCAGCAAAAGATTAGTTACAAGAAATAATATATTTTTCGCTTTTCTATTTTTTCTGCATTCACAAATCATTATGACACCCTTCTAAAGGAATCTATACGTTCCAGGGCAGTTTTTGTATGAACATGGTGGCCAAAGTTTGGTGAGATTTATGGGTCCCTTTTAACCCCAGTAATCAGCAGAAACAACAGCACAACAGCGTCATGAATGAGAGGAAGGCAGAAGGTACAGCGTGCTGCGCACAGACCCTCGCACCCTGATGTCGTCAAACGGGTGAAGAGTTCAGCAAGCACACATAAATATTTAAATGAATGTCGGATTGACAGGAGAACAAAGGGCCGTGGGGACCATTTCTGAACACCTCCTTCCTACACAGCCGGTACAGTTGAACACAGAGAACGCTCAGCTGCATCAGAACGTCGCCAGAGTGTTTGAGCATAATGAAACCAGAACAACTAAGAATTCCCCCCGCCAAGGCTAGTGTGAAGTCATTCCTTTAAAGCGGGACACCGGGAGGAAATGTAATTGGTTTTTTTTTGGAGAAGCCGAGATTTGAAACTCTGCCTCCTAAAATAAATGACACATTTATCTGGTTACAGTGCGCTCTAATGTTGGCTGTTTGGACCAATCAGGTCATTCTATGAAACAGCTTTTCTGATTTGTTGGGGAGATTTGAAAACTAAAGGTTTTAATCATTTTATCAGTCAAATTGTTAGTTTTGTTTAAATATCTTTTATTTAGTACCGCCCTTCAGAAACTACATTAGATAATGGCATACTTCCAACAAGACGAAGAATTATTTACACTGATCACCCTGTTTAAAAGGCTCTTAGCGAAGTTCACAAACGTACTTTCAGGAGGAGCGAACCCATCTAATCTAAACCTTGCTCTGGCCTCAGCTGTTTTGGCATCCCTCCACCTCCCCAACTCCTCATCCAAGCATTAGGCGTCCCACTGGAGGGTTTATCTAAGCTGGAGCTGAAGCTGCTCCTTCGAGCCAAATAATACGCTTAACCTTTTTAGCTTAAAGATTATATGGGCAAACGAACACGTGAAATGTAGTGTGTGGCTAAATCAGCATCAGTGAATGCTTGCAACTTTTGTAATAATTGTGTATTACTGTCAAATATACAATGTTTTTTATTTGAATATATTTTAAAATGTAATTTATTCCTGTGATGCAAAGCTGA